GGAATTGATGGTCTTTAAGGTCCCTTCCAACCCAAACCAGTCTGGGATTCCGTGATTTTTCCAGGAGCAGTTTGGGTTTCCACAGGAATCCCAGCTGGGGAGGTGCAAGCGCAGGTATTCAAATGCCCCATCCGGTGTTTGATGGGGAAATGCAGCGACTCAGAAGTGGTTAAACAGGAATGATCCCACAATCCCAACATGTCTAGATCAGGCTTTTACACATCCACGTGTTTCTCTGGCGATGAGGGCACAGGGAAACCTTCTCCCCCTCTCCCCGGGCCGGCTTCATCAGCGGTGGGACGGCAGCAGGGAAAGCTCCGGCATGACTATTCCACACACATTTATCCTGGCTATGGAATCCAGCTTGGATTTATTTGGAACCAAAGGTAAAGCAGAAGATGGACTGCACGACTGCATTCTCTGGGAATGGCTCACTGGCTGGAGATGGGCTGAGGGAGAATGGAGGACGGCTCAGGAAACAGAAAATTAGGTCTATTGTAAGAAAATATTTGTGATTTATAGAATTATAACAGAATTGCTCAGGGTTTAATGTTACAGAATGCAGTGAAATGTTTTTAAGAATCAGTTTACTAGTCCTGGTACCTGGAGGAGGTCTCAGAGCAGGAGGATGTGGTTTGGGGGTTTGGTGACAGCCAGGAGAGGTGACACTCCCCCCTGGTTTGTCCCTGATTGGAATTCCAGTGGCATTTCACAACTTAAGCTGTAGCACAACAAATGGTTTGGGGGAGGAAAATGTTATGATTCTTTCCCTCTTTCTCTACGTTAATAATGAAAAATAATCAGCTCGTTCTGAGGTCAGACACGGGGGTTTTGGATACAGTGACCCCACGGATGCTCCACTCCAGAAAGGTGCAAACCCAGCAGCATCCCAGCTCTCCTTTCTAAGCCAACATTGTGGCTGCTCATGGGGAACTTCAAAGCTGTGCCCTTTTTTGATGACATAAACAAAACAGGCAGCAGCAGCCTTCCCATTATTTAAACAAGTCCTCAAATCCCTTGGCTCTCTTCCTGTTGCTTTTTCTTTTTGTTTTTTTTTTCTGTTTTTAACAAATGCCAGAAGCCTTTTCTGTAGCAAAACGAAAACCGCCGGTGGCCAAACCACCAGATTTGTGCTTTTGGGCCGCGGCCTAATGGGGTGTCAGGGCTGGCTGCAGCTCAGGGGGGTGGCAGATGGTTGTCCACGCTGTTTATTTGGCATCCTGTGGCCGCAGCATCCGTGTCTCTGCCTCGGCCGTGGCCGTGGGTGGCCGGGGCCGCGCTGCCGGCTCCTCGCTCCACACGGAGCATCCAACGCCAAGGACTGCACAGGGAACATGACAGGGGCTCTTATCAGGGTTCATTCATTAGATTGTGCTCTAATTGTGTTGCCTTCTGTTCAGATATTAAGCAGCACAACCTCCACGGCTTGGAGAGCAGCTTGTTCCCGGGAGGGAGCTCTGCTGCCACCAGGAGCACCGTGGATTACGTGGAGACTTCCCAGCCTTTGGCTCTGGTGAGGAGCATCCATGGGCAGGTGCCTCCCCACAGGGGTGTTGGAATCCTGCTCAGTGAACAAGTTTCCCTGGAAGGACCCTGTGAAATGCTCCACAAGAGATTTGCTCCCCTCGGGGCTGGGGGAGCTCCTGCCTTTGGAAAACTCAGAGAGCACCGGCCCAGGGTGGGGACATGAATCCTTGAAGGAATCAGGGGGCTGAGGTTGAGCATTTCCCAGGGTGGGGAAGCCCAGGATGGGGACATGAATCCTTGAAGGAATCAGGGGGCTGAGGTTGAGCATTTCCCAGGGTGGGGAAGCCCAGGATGGGGACATGAATCCTTGAAGGAATCAGGGGGCTGAGGTTGAGCATTTCCCAGGATGGGGGAGCTCAGGGTGGCTG